CCGTAGCTGCCTAGATGGGTGGCGTTATGGAAGCCTTTGAGCACGTAACTGCCATGGCATTCCAGTCTGAAGGTGAGGATTCAATGAGGAAAAGCAAGGGAGCAGGAGATGCCCCTCAGCTCTGTCCAGATGGCAGGCCCTGCCACAGCATGCTCCAACCTGCTCCTGCTTTGAAAGGGCAAGAGAGAGCAATGTGCAAAAATTGCTTCACCGCCCTGCTGTTACTTTGACACAAATCCTCCAGGGCCCAGGCTAGTCCCAGCAAAAAGAACCGATCTCGGAGATGCACAGGCAGGCTTGAGGCTACCTGTTTGGAGGAACAAATGTGGAGATGTGGTAGCATGGATGAAAGCGGGTTAGACGAAACGGAAATGAAGGAATGCTGTACGGCACGAATAGCTCCACAGCCACCTCAGTAATGGGACTTCGTGACACTGTAGAAAATCCTTTGATGGCAGAGCAACCTTTCCCCTGACAGTCCATCCTGACAGTCATTCAAAAGAAAACAGCCAACGATGGTCCGCTGAAGCACTGAGCAACACCTTTCCCCCTTCAAAGGCGAGAGCAGCACTCTGCCCACCGTTTCTTTAGACCCAGACAGAAATGCTGCGACCACAGCTTACCTTGCCTTTTCAGCTTTTAGAGAGCAGAACAGCCCCACCAAAGAGGAGGCCAAAGAAACAAAGAAAACAAGCACAAAGGCTGAATAACATGACGGACATCACAGCAAGTCAGGGCCAGCGCCAAGGCAGCAATTTAGTGTTTCCAATTAACAGGCCTCTGCTTACAGTCGAGGCACACTGATTGCCGGGCTGCAAATGCCACTTAATGTTTTCATTAGCGAAAGTCCAGGAGGAAATAAAACAGCACTTACCTTTGACAATCTGCTTCGCACAGGCATTGTAGACCTGCTCTTGGGTTGTGTTGGGCGGCAGCACTCTGTCAAATACATATGGCTTCCCTTGCTGAAAGCAGATGAAAGAAAAGGGTGGGGAAAACGCATTAGGGGTTTAGGTCTTAAAAGCACTAATATTAGCAGTTAGACCACAGGCAACGGAATCACCAACCCACTCCACAAGGCAGTCCTTCCCTCACCGCAGAACCTTCATTGCGTGAGCCACGTGCATGACTGCATGTGGATATTGGATGCCAGGGGCCAGAAGGCACACGTTCTTAAATCCTTTTCCTGGATTTGTGAATCGTCCCATTAAGTGGCGCTGATAGCAAAGAGGCAAGAATGTAGACACAGGGAAATACAAAGCACCCAGGAATGGAGTAAGGTGACAGAGGTGACGGAGCCGGCAAGGAAGGCTTAACCACTGAAGTCTCAATTCAGGGGATCGTGAAAACTTCAGGCAGATGCGGACCAGGAAAATGCTGTAGAAGAACATTCTGGCATGGGATAACACAGACAGCCAAGGGTCTGGTATGTTCAAGAAACAAGAGGGTGTCACAAATGGGGGCTAGCAAGAAAATCAGGAGCCAGTTCATGTAGGGCACTGCTGGCCAAATATGTGACCAAATATAACCTGCCTGTGTTTTATTTACTGGGGGGAGGACGTGAGCAGATGTAAGAAGCTGTTCTCAGTAGAGACAGCACGGTTATTGTCCCGCACAATTCAGTGTCCTCGCCACGCAGGAGCAATGCCTGAACTGGACTGAGGCTTCGAAAACAAAGCAGCCCTTCTATACAACAAAACAGGAAATCTGGGGGAGGAGGGTTGGTTAGGGGTTTGATTGGCAGCTGCCTATGTAAAATCCAAAGAAACCGCCATTCCGGGGGCAGCCGGAGGGGGGCAGGAACTCCATCACAGCACAAATAGACCCCGCTGCCTGTCCTTCGCTGTTCAATAAGGGCCAAGGGGTACCTCAGTGTCAGGTACAGCACTGAACACTGGGGGGAAATGGGTAAGACACAGGTCCAAACTGCAGCTTCCTCTGTCAACAGAGCCCAGGCAAATAAAAATTCTCCTTTTACAGCCTGATCCACAAACCAAGAAGAGGAGGGCGGAGGACAAGAGGGGAGAGATGGGTGGGGGCTAAAAACCACACCTCCTATGAGTCAAGGGCAGACTGGCCTTGAGGAGACACTGCTCTTCAGAGCTCAAAGAACAAGGCCTGTTACATCCTACAACCTTCACACAAGTGAGCACAAAGCGTCAGAAGGGCTCAGTGGTTACTCATCCATCACCGTGGGTCCAGGCAACTGGAGGTGGAATCCTACGCTCTATACCTTATGTTTGAGCTTTAGTCTTTGAAAACAGAATTGAGCTAGCCAGGTAAACAAGCTACTTCTAATTTGATCTTAGAAAAATGGAGAATTTTTAGAAAACATAAAAAAGAGGAGAGGGAAGAGGTTTTATGCGCAGAGGCGGAACTATAGTCATTCTGATAAAAATTATGGAAAGAGATCACTTTCTTATGTTTGATTCGAAATTGTGTACCCTTTGGTTAATGAACTAGGTGTCTGGTGGGATAACCAAGAACCATTCCTTACCAAAATCCTCAGCTAGCTTTCTTACTAGTTTTATCCATTTTTCAAATTCGACCAAATATCAGGAGCTGGAGAGACTCAGTTTGGTTAAGAGTGAGCACTGCTCTTAGAGGGCACCCAAGTTCCGTTCCCAGCACCCATGTCAGGTGCTTACAACTGCCTGAAACTCCAGCTCCCTGGGATCCAAGACCCTCTTCTGGGCTCCTTGGGCATCAATACTCATGTACACATACCCACACACTTGTACACATAAGAACAATTTAAAATAATAAAAAAAAATCTTTTTAAAAATTCAACCAACACCAAGAGAGTAAGTAAAAAGTAAAACTAAACATTTCCAGAGGGCTGAGGGTGTGTCTGAGAGGGGGCGCTCTTGCCTAGCATGCATGAGGCCCTGGGGTCCATCCCATGCATTGAAAACAATGGGAGCAAACATTTACAGAATTTACCGAAGTTGTCCACTGAACCCTCTGGAAACTTAGAACAAATTTACTATTTCTCCAAATTCAGAGAGAAGAGCAGTGTATGCTGTCCCCAGCACGTCCTGCCTTCAGCTTTAGAGAACGTGCATTCGGTGCAGCCGGAAAAATGACCTAGTGAATGATGCTGTACAGAATGATAAGACGGCCCAGCTTTGCCCTCAAGTGGGAATGCTTGCTGCAATGCAGTATATTTTCCCTTAAGAGAGGGAGAAGACAAGAATTCATCACTCCCTTTTAAAAGTAGTATCAATTACCAATTATCAACCGACAAACCCGATACTTTTAAATGGCCTAAAGTTAAATCCCCAAAAGCAACTGCCTTCAAGATTTTATGGCGGTGTTGACACCAAGAAAAGATGAAACTCTGCAAATAATTTGCTCCAGGACCTGTCTTGTCAGAGCATTTCAGTGTCTTTCATGCACTCAGCTACTTATACAAGCTTTCGGTTGATTTTAATGAACCTTCAAGTATTAAGAGAGGGAAAGAGAACAGCATTGTTGTTGAATATTTTCAGAGAACTGGCTTGTACCAGTTGTATATACAATCACCCCTCCTCTCTCTCCCTCCCTCCCTCCCCACATGTTTTAATAGTAAAACTATCTCATAAATGCTGATCAAAACAGGAACAAAGACCCTTCCGCGGAATCCCCAAGGAGACAAGATTCTAATGTTTCTGATGCTGCAGTGGCTGAGGGTTCTGTTGGCAGGCAACAGGCCTACCTGATCTACTGCTTGCAGCTACAGAACAAAATTCAAGTGACATTGCTATGTAGGCACTAGACACTGGCACTTGGGCCTGGGTGGGACCATCACTCATCAGCCTCTGAAGGGAACCTTCCAAGTTCCTCCCAGCACCTGGCTTTCTCCAGGCTCTCTGGGTACCGGTGCCAGTGTCCTCCGCTACCATCTCTTTCTGATGTACATGTATGCTGAAATGGTCAAGTCCTGGCCTAGACCCAAGCCTTTTGGTTGTGCTCTTGACTTTTAGGACATTTACATGACTATTTCAGCCTTCAACTCTCATCTACCATGCAGGCTCCTATGCCTACTAGGGAGTTCCACCTCTGCAGGTGACCATTAGCTTCCCAAACTTTACTAGCCAAAAGAGAACCGTCACTTCCTCCATATCTGAGCATCCTAACCGTCACCTAGATACTCACACTCAACACCTAAGACTCAGTGTGCACGAGAGATTCCCATCTGGGATACACCCCAGCAGTTATCATTTCTTAGTATCTACACCACGCAGTTCTATCCATCAGTCTCTTGCACAGAGCAGTCAAGTCCCCCATCCCGTCACCCTGCTGTTCTTCCTCCCTAATGATCCATTTCCACCATTGGGCAGGGTGAGGTGCCAAAACTAAGATGGCATCACTGCCTCACTTGTGTCTTCTGTTACACACACAGTAGACTCTTCACCCAGGGCTGCTTGCACTCTCCTCTCTCACGGCAGTGTGGCCCAGTGGCACTCCCTGCCCCCTGTTCATTTCCCGCACGGTGTCTTTGCTGTTAACTTTCCTTGCCCTTGGAATTCTCTTAGCTCAAGCCTGCATTTGGCCACCCCCTTAGGAACCACTGTCTTTATTTGCTTTTATGTTGTTGTAATAAAACACTATGACGAAAAGCAACTGGGGGAGGAAATGGTTTATTACATCTTAGAGGTTAGAGTTCATCATCAAGGGGAGCTAGGGCAGGCCTTCAAGCCTTCAAGTAACCTGAAGGCAGGAACTGAAGCAGAGGCCATGCAGGAATACCACTCACTGGCTTGCTCCCTGTGCCTTGCTGAGTCTGCTTTCTTATACAACCCAGGACCATCCGCCGGGGGTAGCACTGTCCAGAGTGGATTGGGCCCTCCCACATCAATCATCCATCAAGAAAATACTCCCAAAGACATGCTCCCAGGCCAGTCTAATGGAAGAATACACCGAGTTGAGGTTCCCTCATCTCAGATCACACTAGTTCATGTCAAATGGACAAAAACCAACCAGCACCTTCGTCCTATCTCTTATTCTTCATCCTTCAGGGTTTGCACGACTCTAACTAAAGCAACCCCACCCCACACTGGTGTAACCATCACCTGAAGATTTGGTTTGCTTCAGACAGTGAGTACATGACCTATTCCAACCAATGATGTGGAGCAACGCAATGAACGCATTTATCCAGCTGGAACAGAAGCTGCACGTCCTGAGCAGGTGGGCAAACCCACCGCACCTCCTGAAAGGAGTCTGGATGGCACACTCTGCACGCGTTACTACTGACGGTGACGCCTGCCGCCATTGTGAAGCCTCTCTGCACAGACGTGCAACTGCACAGGAGCAGAATACTGAAATTAATGACCTGCCAGGATCACATACAAAAAAAAAATAATAGCAGATGGTCCTTACACTTCTCTAGTTAAAATTAAAAACAAAAAAATCATGCCACCAGAATTCCTATCAAGTTGCTGAGAGCAAAATGTCTGCGAACCATATGGCCTGCCTATTAATACATTTGACCCGTTACCCAACAACTGTTCCCCTGCCTGCAAGGGACTCCACTGAGAAAGACAGAGGGAGGCAGAAGATCCAGGCATGCTCCGAGGATGAGTACCAAGAGGAACACTACAGAAAGGAAAATTGATTATTCCCTTAGAGTAGTAATAAGTAACCCAAGAGCACTCTTAAAGACGGACCAAGAGTTGTGACCAAAGGTGGCCATAATGTGAATTTTTCTCTTCCTTATCTTCATTAAGAGAGACAAAAAGAGGATAAAAACTAAAAGAAAGACCACCATTTCCACTGGAAAGTCCTGGTTGTTGAGAGCAATCATTAGTCATAAATGTCTGGTTGATTTCATTCCTGAAAGTGCAGGAAGAGAGTGCAGGAGAGGATGAACTCTTACAGCTTCAACAGACCACGTCCCATGCCAAACGTCCCAGCCAATGGTCCCCACCCAATTAGGCTCCATCTCACTCCTCACAGTAACTCTAGGAGATGTCACCACCCCCATGTCACAAAGCAGCAAGCCTGTCACAGTTTCAGCTCTAGGCTTTGTAGAAATACTCTGGAGGCTCCGATTTTAAGTGTTAGTCCTTTACATCAGTGACTCTCAACCTGTGACTCGCTACCCCTTCCCCTGTCTTGTTCCCAGTCAATTCTAAATTATTTCTGAGTACACACAATTACTTAGGCCAAGGAACAAAGAGCCGCTGCTGTACTAGGTGCTGTCCAGCCCATTATGTACGGCAGCCATTCGGTCTGCTTACGGTGACAATGTCCATCCCCATGAGCCTGCACATGACTCAGCCAGCAACAGCCTTCGAAAGCAGCATGCAGTATCACTTTAAGCCCACCTCCCTGGAGCATGAAGCCAAGCACTGTCCTCCAGAACAAATCAGACACCTGCCTAAGGCAGCTCTGCCTGGCCTTGGAAGCTAGTGTCCACCTTCCAAAGCACTTTCTTCTGATGGACAAGTAAAAGGACAATGTACTTGCTTCTCAAAGCTGGATGGATGTGTTTTTAATTGAAGGATTCTAAAGATAACCCAGGGTCAGGATATCAGTAAAGCATCATATTAGCCTGCACAGGGAGAAATTAAACAAGAGAAAATCATGGACTGTCAAGGGCTTTCATAACAATCTCAAGGAGTGTTTCCAAAACATTAGCTAAAAAGCCCAATAAAAAGTTGATACTCACTTTTTACCAACATAAGTATCTTCACCAGAAGCTTGAGGGTTGGTTGTTAAAATATAACTGACACAAAACAAACCCCACCCCTTTGGGCAATTCAGTGCAGAGACCCACAAGCCCTACACCACCATCTACTCCCAGAGCCTCCCATCACCCTCGGAAGAACCCTCTACTGCATTAGCAGTCGGTCTCCCTTCCCCCACTCTCCCTGTTCTAGGCAAACACGAATCTGCCAACAGACTTCACACAACTGCATGTTTAGGTATTCCATGTAAAGGGAAGTGCTGTGGGATGGTCTGTACGTCAAATTGCTCTGATTTGTCAATAAATAAAACACTGATTGGCCAGTGGCTAGGCAGGAAGTATAGGCGGGACTTACAGAGAGGAGAAAAGAAAGAACAGGAAGGCGGAAGGAGTCACTGCCAGCCACCACCAGGACAAGCAGCATGTGAAGATGTTGGTAAGCCACGAGCCACATGGCAAGGTATAGATTTATGGAAATGGATTAATTTAAGCTATAAGAACAGTTAGCAAGAAGCCTGCCATGGCCATACAGTTTGTATGCAATATAAGTCTCTGTGTTTACTTGGTTGGGTCTGAGCGGCTGTGGGACTGGCGGGTGACAAAGATTTGTCCTGACTGTGGGCAAGGCAGGAAAACTCTAGCTACAAATGGTGCCCAACGTGGGGCAAGAGTTTCCACCTAAAACCTGAGAAAAACGATTCTAAAATGGAGCAAAAAACAGTTCCTAGTTGTTTCCTCTCAAGTTAGTGGCAGCCTGCGTGTTTGAGCTACTATGGCGGGTTCCTGGCATGTGCACTTGACCTGCAGTTTGGCGGGAATGAGGCCTCTGCAAGTGGCACATTAAGCTGCATCATGAATTTAGCCTTTGCTAGTACAAAAAAAAAAAAAAAGAGGTTTCTGGGCTACATGCTGCTTTGATAGAAGCATAAACCCACTATTTCTGAGAGTTGATGGCTCCCAGAACTGGTGGAAAACGTACCACCGCCATGTTGGGAAGCTGAAGTGGGTGGAGCCAGCAGCCACAGCACCAGTGCGGGTTCAGTCTTGGAATGCTGCAATTTAAAGCAATAGGCTCAGGGTAATATAAAAAATAAGCCACGTAAAGATGGCTACTACACAGAGAATCTGGATTATGTTCTCTTTGATATTCGTAACTGAAGAAAAACATTTGGTTGCAAAAGCTGTTGAGTTATGACAAAATGTATATTTTAAAGGTACCTTGACATCAAAATTTGGATGTAAGGATATGTTACTTTGGAAAGGAGGCTCTGCTTTTGTTTCCACAGGAAGCCAGAGGCTATGGATTTGTTCCAGATTAAGACATATCAAGTTTGACCAGCCAAGACCCCCTGAAATGTCTCCGATGACACCAAGGCCCAGATGATCCAACATCCAGAACTGTTTCAAGGCAACTGGCTCAGATGATACACCCTCACAGACTACTCCATAATCCTAAAATTTTGTTTGTGTCCCCATAAGATACAGCACACACACACCCTCCAGCAGGAAGGAGTAAGAGAAGCTACGCCCAAATTCCCAAATATACCAAGCTGGCTTTGGAGAGGCGTAAAAGTTAAAACCTTCCTCTGTTAAAAAAAAAAAAAGAAAAGAAAAGAAAGAAAGAAAGAAAGAAAGAAAGAAAGA